AATCTGACTGTTAATTAGAAAAGTTCTTTCTAAAACATAACATTAATGGATAAATTGTCTTACATTGTCATAGATATTGGCTAAATACCTAAAAGTTCTGTATTCTTGCTATTTTCAGTCCCTCAGGAAAGAAGTAGTTGGGTTAATTAAAATTACATATTTTAATGGTCCATGAAGTGAATGATGTGGTGTGCTCTTGGATCTAAGAGAGAACATTGAATCTAAAATACCTACTAGATTTAAGGATATCCATCCATTGTGCTTTAAAATTCAGAGTGATTCATCTTCCATCGCTCTGTCTAAATATCAAATGTAGAGTGAGTCAAATGCAAGTGAAACTGGATTGTCTGTTCCAGAGAGAGACAGCTCCAGGAGCTGAAATGTGACAGGAAAAGTTTGGGCTTGATCAGACATTGCCTTTTCTGGCCTTGAAATCCATTAAAACGATGAGAACAGTGGTCATCCTCTCACAGATGGACAACAAAGTCCCAGCTGCAAGTGGGAGAGGGCATGAGTTTAGGGGACACAGCTGTAAAGATTTAGGAAAAAGGTTTTAAGGAAAAGGAAGACTAAACAGCCATTTGTGTGAACCTTTTGGAATTCTGAATAGAATTTTTAATGCATATTTGTATTTAATAAGTATGCAGGATTAAACTGGTCTACAAAACACTTCCCACCCACATTCTGATAATATCAAACGGAGGTTAATACTGAAATGAACATATTCAATTATGGAGAATGGTTTTTAAAACACTGTAAACAAAATATCATGTTTTAACAGATGTGGTAAATAATAAATGTGATTAATAAGGTAGGAGGAATATAGACAGTGAGAAACCCACCATCCAGGACCAGATTAAGGTCATCATTCCTAAAATTTGACTATTCATCTATATACTAGCATGGGAAGTGAGTGATCCTACTCTATTTGGTGAATTTCTAGACACATCCAAGGGGGATAAAATTGATCTTTGCATCCTGAAGGGTTTGCTTTTGTTTCTTAAGACAACATCCATTTTGAAAGGATTAAAACCTGCTTACATAATTTAAATACACCTTATTAACAATTATGGGTTGTTCAAATCTATCATATTATCATTTAGTATAATTCTCACTCTTTTGTGTGGAATCTGCTATTCAGTTTGGATCTATACATTATTATAATTTATGATAGCTTCATAACAGTGCATTTGCTCAAATTACAAGGAGAGCACTCTAAAATACTTCCATTATGTCATGGATCAGTTGTTCTGTCTTTTTAATCATGGACATGTAGAACAAAAGGAGAAATCTGAAAGAAATGGATTAATTAGGCTGTAGCTTTATTAACTTCTTCCATTTGGGAGCTGCTCAGGAGTGGTGCATCCAATCAATTTGTCATTGTTCTGGTAATTATTTCCAGGTGTTTGGTGTGTTGTCAGCATCCCCTACTGATCACAGCTATTCTCTGCATTGCTGCTCAGGGCCCATCTTCTGTCTCTTAATAAACACTTCAAGGCTTTGGAAAAAATGCTATTTCCTCCGTCTATTAAGCATTGAAAACCTTGGTTCAATGCTTTCCTCACAGGTAGATGTTTTACCTTAAGTCTGCTCATGAACTTCCAGTAGCTTTTTTTTGGTGGGCTTTGCACTCACCTGTTGACAGATGTTTGCAGTTGTTAAGCTCTGGGGACATGGTGGGATTGTTGGGGTCTCCTGTGTAGGGCCAGGAGCTGCTCTCAGTGATCCCTACAGTTCCAACCCAGGATATTCTGGGATTCCATGAGTATTTCTCATAGCTGCAAATGGTCCTGAAAACCTGCAGTTCTTATCATCTGTACTCCAGAAGCAGAATTGTTTCATGGGGCTGCTGTAATGACGATAGAAATGATACTGTGTGCAATTAGAAGGGACTGAAGTACTGCCTTTAGTCTGTCAGGAATCCTCACAAAAATGACAAAGCCAAAAAGGGACAGTGGGGACAAGAGTGGAAGAAGAACACAGTGAAACTGAAGGACACATGGGTCATGAGAAGAAATTGATTTAAATTATCTACAAATACAGGCATTAAAGTGTCTCTAATGAAAGGAACCTGTCAGATCCTGGAGTTCATTTTGGAGTGAGTTTCTTCATATAGGATTAATTGGGGTTAAATGTCTGAGCTGCTTCTAAGATGGAAGCTTGATAAGTTTATGGGTGTAGCTATTATCATATTAAGATTATTATTAATTATATTATCACTTGACTGACTGCAGTGGCAAGGAAGCAGACCTGATGGCTTCAGATATCTGTGCTTCTTGTGTTGACCCAATTTTCACTGAAAGTAATTTAATACAGATTACAGAACAACTTGAAATGCATTTGGAAAGAAATGGATAACTAAATGGAGGGTTGACTTTTTCCAGATAAAATTGTTTCTCTAAAGAATAATTGGCCTAGCTGATACCTTTAGCCTAAGAGTAGTTTGATACCAGTGCTGTAAAAGGATTAAAATATGTTAATTGGCACTGAGAGAGATGAGCCTTCCTCCCCATAACTGCTAGTTTCTTTGGTTATTAGTTTCTAAATTATGAACTATTAGATTTTGTTAAGTTTTAAACAACCTGCTGTGAACTTTTGTACTTTTTTGGTTTGCTTATTTGATTATGTCTATTTAACAATTTTTACTTCATTATTTTGGAGTTTTATTTCACCTGATGTGAGCTAAGACTAACTATCTAATCCATGCTCTTTTAAGGTTTTTTGATTTTGTTTGTTTCTGTTTCCATTTGACATTCTGTGCATTTTTCCTCTGCCATTGAGTGTTGATTTTTAAATATTTTTGCAAGGGATATCTCCTTGGATATTCAAGTCTAAGAAGATGATTTTTCTACTTGATTTCCTGGTGCCACTGGCCAATTATCAAATATTATTTCTTTTTTTTCATAGTCCAATATAAATATTTATCTGAAGCTGCACACTGCTAATTTGGCAGAAAATGGTAAAGTCTCTACAGTACCAAAATGGAAGTTAAACAATTTTCAGGCTTCTGATTCCAAAATCAAAAGCTTACTTTGGCTGCCATTTCAGCTTGGATTTCTCTAAAATTCAGTACTTTCACTTAGAGGGGTTTTGCTGCTGGATGCTTGGAATCACTTCCATCTCATCTGAATCCTACTTAGAGCTTAAATAAGGGAAAAACCTTGCTGGGATTTCCTGTGGTTGTTTGTGTCCCCTTGGGTTCAATCAGCTCAGCATGCTCCAAGAGTGCATTTTGGAGCAAACTCTTGATTTATCTGGGATTGTTCGTTTCCCTCCATAAATAATTGGAGGGAAGATGATGCCTTACAATGTTACTTGGGTTAGATGAAGCCAGTCCTGCACTGGGATCAAATTCCCAAGAAACTCACATCCAAGCCTTGCTCACATTCTGGGCTCTCAACTGTTCTCTGTGGTCACTCTCAATATCTCCTCTTATATGAAATATTTGAGTCACTGACTCATAATAATAGCAATAACAGTGAAGTTTTATTCCCAATTTTTAGCACACTCTCAGCCAGAAGTTGTGGATAAATTTTCAAACAACTGTTTGAATTAAAGTATGTGTTAGAAAATATCTTTGTGGCATCAGAATTCTTTGCTCCTAGTATCAGTGATTTTTGGCACACAGGAAAAATGCATGGGAAGGTAGGGACACCAATGTGTGATTCTCCTCCAGAAACCTTGTTTTTGTTTTTACCTTGAATTTCAGCTCTGTGATGCTTAGCAATATAGCATTTAAGTATGTTTAGAATTTTGGTTTGTTCTCCTTTTATCTAGCAATGATTGATTGTTAATTATCTCCTAAGAAATTTATGGAGAGTTTTGCCAACCCTATGAACAGCTAAGAGGAATATATAGCTTTAGAAATGAGCCACTTGAAATGTATTTTGAAATTTTATATTATCAGCTTATCATCCAAGATACTCTGCTTGCAAATTATAATTTGAACACACAGTCCTAATGGTAAATATAATAAGGAAAATAGTTCTGATGGGAATTAATCACTGTGGCTCTCTCAAATCTCTCCCCCATTATTTGCATTGTCTTATGGGAAATTTTGCCTTATGGGATTCTTTTTTAATGTTGTTGTAATAGTCTTAAAAGGAATATAAATATGCTTGATTTCACATTAGGAGTACTTTCTTTTTGAGATTCTGCGCTGGAGACAAACTGGATTTTTTTTTTAACAACAGCAAAGATTGGGTTAATATAAAATCTGTGAATCATAGCAGTCTGGGAAAGGTGGGGAAAAGAGTCTGGAAAAGAGGAGGCTTGAAAGAGACCTTCCAGTGCCTAAATGGACTCCAGGAGAGCTGGAGAGGGACTTGGGACACAGCATGGAGTGGCAGGACAAGAGGGAATGGCTTCAAACTGCCAGGGTGCAGGGTTAGATGGGATATTGAGAAGGAATTCTTGCTTGTGAGGGTGGGGAGGTGTAGGGGGATACAATATAAGAAATTAAAGGTAGTATAGAAAGTAATCTTGCCCCATTAAGGAGTTGCAGCTGAGCCAATGATTAGAGACTGGGAACAGGCCTGATGTTAACAGGTTACACCTGTAGCCCATCAGAAGAGTGTTATAAAAGAGTGGATTGGGTGGTTGAGGGGAACTGGAGTCAGTTGGCTGCTGTGAGGACAAGGAAGAGTCAGTGCCTGGAGGAGCTGCCTGCAAGAAACATCAAGGGGGTACAAAACTCTGGCAATATGGAACCCTTGCAATGTCATGACAGTAGAACTCTTGCACTATAATGACAGCAAGGAGGCCCTGGAAAGGTTGCTCAGGGAAGCTGTGGAAAAGTCCAAGGAGAAGGTAGAGGGGCTTGGATTGCCCTGGGACAGTGGAAGCTTTCCCTGTAGTGGGACTAGATGGGCTTTAAGATCCCTTCCAACCCAAGACTTTGATGGTTCTGATTTTTCTCCCAGCAACACTTAGAACATGCAGAAAAATAGAACCCACAAGGCTGACCACTAACCCGAGCACCATTTGTGTTCCTCTGCCAGGAGAGACGATGCGCATCGCCTCGTCGGAGTTCGCGGACGACCCCTGCTCCTCGGTGAAGAGGGGCACCATGGT